AAATCAATGTCTACTGTTTTGCGCCAGCTAGTGCTTACCATTTCATTCCAGCCCTAAGTATGTGCCCTGCTGTTATTCTTCCTTTGGCAGTTGAACGTTGAATTCGAGATTCTTTTGTTTTAAGAAGTACTAAGCAAAACAAGCAATAAAAAGGGGAATGGGGTGTGCTAGTGTTTGAATATGCTCTCTTGTTGCTCTAATTCTGTGCCTCTGTGCATTATTAATATTTGGATGCATGCAATGCCAGCATGGAAATTGGTCTTCACACATACTGCAGTTTTCCAGAAACACTCACAAACCAATAAATGTAAACAGACATTCCATTTGTCAATGGGCATATATGTGAATAAGCAGTTTAGAAAATAGGCTAATATTAGAAAACGGTTAAGTACTTAACAACTTCAAGTGTGGTTATATAAATGGACACTGTCAATGTTAATAACTTAAACCTGGGTATCTGGTCAAAATAATGCTTGGGAAACACTTTATTAAAATTGAGCTAAATTGTCTCAAGTTCTTTTATTCTTATAATAAAGGTTGAAGGAATGGGGGAGATAAATATTTCCTGTTTTTATGTTTGTGAAATTGTTTGACACAACCTTGACAGTATCCTTTAATGGCATATGAGGTTAATTGTACTGTTAACCAACTTTCTATGTTCTGGAACTAGTTTAATAGTAAAAAAACATTTTCAGTAAGTTGATGTTTGCAACCTATAAGCAGGTGAAATCTGTGTATGTGACCTGTTTATAAGTTGTATTAGCTTAGCTTTTGTGAACAGTGTGGAAAAGTAAGCCATGAGGAGAGCGGTATACCCAGCTTTAAAGGACCTAAGATGTGCTTTTTAAGCACAGTGTGGATCAAAGGAAACTCACTAAGACAGGACTTCAGCAGCCTTTTGAGTATGGACAAGTCAGCATAAATAACGAATGACAAGGCAGCAGCAAGAGCTTCAACTACAGAGAAGTGAAGGCATAAGATACTATGATGATAGTGAGCAACTTTCCAAAAGCTAGTTATCTGCTTATTACAACTGAAATATCGAAGAAAGTCTAGCAGGAAGGAGCTCTTCGCCTTTTGGAACATCAATGAGAGATAGTTGCCACAGTCACTAGGTCTAGCATTTAGACCTGCGAGGAAGGGCAATAAGCATTAGGTAAGGCTTGAATTTGAATTTTTTCACTAATTAAAGAGTAATTTTTTGTAAAGCAAGGTAAGAGTAATCTTTTTGATTTGCAGGTTGAATGAGAACCCTACCTGCCTAAATGAGGAATGTCTTTTCTACCATCTTAAATACGAAGGTTTCTGGCTGGGTAAGGTTTGTAGTTCACAGTCAAATCTGATGACACCATTTGTTTCCCTACAAATCTATTTACATATTTAGAGATTTGTCCCTCTCTGGTAGGTACATTGGCAAAATTCTTCAGGTGAAAACTGTCTTGGTACCATATCCAACACATTTTAAACCTTAGTTTTTAAAACTTTCCTGCAGTAGCCATAAGTGTTCATCATGAGTCAGGTACAACATTTTTCTTTATGTATACAATTCGTTCTTATCTCCAGGCTAAAGTCAAATTTTTTGGTAAGAGAAAAAAAAGTAGCCTCAGCTTCTGTGAGAACAATTTTTGTCATCTGTCATCACAACTTTTAACAAATTCATTAAGCTGCCTGGTCTAGTGACACCTTCAGATGAATCACAAAATTATTAAATGATAAAAATACAAAAATGGTAATCATTCGTGTGGCCTCACACATAAGTATACATGCATGTAAATTCAGGGAATTGGCTAGACCAGTGCAGTAAATTTGGGTTTGGTTTGGTTAACCTCTTGACTCTGAAGCAGTGAGGGCCTAAGTCATGTTAATTTTGCTTTTTAACACTTTTGCCCAAGGAATGACTATTCAAATTAGTTGGTGATAATAGGGCTGTCTTTGCTGCCCTAAAAGGGCTTACTGAAGCTTTGTTAAGGTTAATGTTGATTGACTTTAAAAACTTGGGGGACAGATGCTCAAAATATAAGCTGGTTTCAGATTTATCAGTAAATTCATTTCAGTAAGAACAGGAGTAGTCAGTTTGCCATGAAGTTTGTTTTTGAAAATGACCAGTTGAAAAAAAGTTGGCTCTGTACTTAAATCAGGACTGAATTTCTACACATAGAATGAAGTGTTGAATGCAGTAAACAGCCTCTTAATGATAGATTTTGTTGGCAACATTGTTTCTACTAGTAAATTTCCTAAGATAGGAAACATTTTTCTTTTTCAAAAGACACTGGTTTTTTTCTGTCTTCATGAAGAAAAATTTAGTTTCCTTGTCATTTCTGAAAAATATTGTTCTCTCAACATTGCAGGGCCAGTAAACAAAATAAGGAAGTTAAGTTACAGTTAAGGTGGTAAATCTTGAGCGGGCTTTTTAACTGATGTTAGACCCATCCTAGGTTACTGGTTCTGATAACTTACTACATTTCTAAAAAAGCTAAATTTACACACATGTCCAAAAGATTTCTGTGGTAATGATGGAAAATAGGTTTGATTTTAAGAGTTGTATTTTAGTCAGATTTTCAAACATTTCTAATTGACTATCACTTGGTCCAGTAATGTCACAAAGCAGTGGAAAAACATGCTAATGTGCAGGAGTAATAACAAGGATTAGCCTATCCAAGTACTTAAAATCACTCTTAAAACTTCATGTGTTTTATTCTGGTTTTTAAGATTTCAGAGGTGGTCTATAATGGTTCAAATGTTTCTTTTGTAGTACAATGAAATGTTTACAGAAAGATAATTTTTTCATTAAAATATTTTTAGAAATGTGTGTGTGGTTTTCTCACTTCACAATGTTCATGTGACTCACTATAGATTGATATTTCAACATACTTTGCTAGTAATTAATAAAACAACAGGAAACTTGGAGTGAGCCTTTATCAATTATTTAAAGGGTTGTGGATTCTGTTAAGAACAGCCATGGGAAATAGGTATGGAAGAAAGTATAGTAGTACTTCTAAGTCGACCACTAAGGGATTGTAACGAAAGGGTCAACATAAGCAACTAGGCCTACTGTGTTGATAGAGACATGTGCGTGTCTGGTCTGTGAAAGGTCAATTGGAGGTGGTCAACTATGGAAGTTGTATTCTAAAGATTTTGTTGCCACTTAATTGTTGCTTAAAAGGTCTTGAAGGCCAGAATACTTAATGGTGTTTCTGAGAAATCGGTGAACTTCGAAGTGGAAGAGTTGGGTGATAGACAAGTGAAGGAGTTGGGAGAAGTAAAGGGGGATTCCTGAGGGAGGTATCTGGAGAGTGAGTGGACTAATGGAATATATATGTATGTATGGACATATATATACACATAGTGAAGGTGGGTTGGAGAAGCTTAGCATAAAATTAGTGTTAAATGACACAGCTGCACTTTAACAACCAAATTAAAAGGATGTGGTAAATAATTAAATGTATTTTTCCCATATACCAATTGAAATGGAATGTATTTTCTTCAATAAAGTTATTTTTATGATAAATTATGATAACATTGATTTGGATTTCTAGCTTTTGTTTGAAATTACTCAGTTGCCCCAAGGCTGCCATGATGTCAGCCTACCTCACAGCAACCTTATAAACTAGGTTCAAGCAATTCTCATGGATCATTCTTAGCTGGGACCACAGGCACCCTTGATGGTCGACTTGATTTTTCTGTTCTAGTACAGATGGGATCTCACTTAGGCTGATCTCTTGAGCTCAAGGAATCCTCCTGCCTGGCCTCCCAGAGTAGGATTACAGACAGGCATGAGCCAGTGTGCCTGCCCTTAGATTCTAGCTT